GAGGCAGGACTCTAAAAGAAGGTGGAAAGACGAAAGGCCTCTATCCTCATGCCTGGTACACTGACACTTCTACCACATTCTATTAGCCAAAGTAAATCATAATCAAGGAGATGAGAAAATTGACTCCATCCCTTGATAAGAGAAACTGTGAAGACACGTAAGAAGGGACAAAGAATTGAGGCCAATTTTGCAATCAGTCTGCCATATGCATAAGCCAAACAGAATACACAGTCAAATATTTAGGAAAAAAGTTTAAACACAAATGAGTGACGGTCAGTAAAATAAGACGACTATCTGTTTTTTATTGTGTGATGATATGTGGTGAAAAATTCTAGTTTTATTCAGTAGAGGGGAAAAGTTTTATACCTCCACTTGATCCCATCCAAGTAGAACTCCATCTATACCACATTTTTACCTAGAGCTGACCTTGAAAGATATTTTAAAAATGACTTAATTCTTTTTTTTTCTTAATTTTACTTTAGGTGCATACCATATCTGTCATTTCTCCCCACCCTCCCTACCCTCCTCACCCCTCAATGTCTCTCCCCTACACACACACACCCCCAGTGTGTGATGTTCCTCTTCTTTCTATTGGAAAAGAAACATGTTTATTGACTATTTTGTCAAAGGAAAAAATGTATAGTTTTACTCAGCATAAGGTTATTGGAACCGTTAGGAGATGTGCCAAATTCTGATACTTTTTAGAATGATTCAGATATTAAAATTTTGCCAAGAACATTTCAATACCTGAGGCATTTTTGTTCTGAATTATCCATTTAATTGTGCACTTCTTCCTTTGTTTTTGTAGATGCAATGCAAACAGATTGCATTTTCCCATCTGGGATTTCTGAGCCATTTGAAAATCAAGCATGGTTGGATCTAGAGTAATAATAAAATTATTTAACAAACATTATGTTATGGGCATTGGCCAATAAGAACATAGCCTGACTCTAAATTTTGCTATGTTGTGAGATCTAACCACCACCATTCCTCTTAGAAAAGTGATGAAGGATGCTCCCACATCACTTCCCGGGAGAGAGGTGCTTTAATGAGACCACTCCAAGGGCTAAATATTTGGAGCACTAGGGGCACTGTGGACTGGTATCTGGAAAATCAAAGGTGCAGGAGACAGGCTAATTTATTTGACAGGGAAAGGAAGCTGGCAACATTGAGATTGGCCAGTACACCTAGAGTATATCAGGGAAAAGGAGATGTGTTTCTCATGGGCCAGATATTGCTCCTCACTACAGGGAGCTGGAGGGATAAAGACAACTCAGCTGAGAGGAGCTGTAGGTATTGCTAGATTCTCAGGGGCTGCAGAAGACCTAGGGAACTAATTGGAAGAGAAAAGCATTCATATTCATCAAGGGAACTACAAGTAGAGATTGGGATCAATGAGAGCAGTTCTTTCTTACTATCCATGAAAGTGTCTATGAAAGAAAAAAAATTCTTAAAACCTGAAGTTGGGCCCAGAAAGTAACTAACCCAGTTTCTTATAGTACCAACCAAGTTGAGACTTTTCCTATTTCCCTCACCTCTCCTGCCCCAATCCCTTGCATTCCAATTCTGAAGGGCCAAGACCTCCATCTAATGAAATAGGGGAGAATAAATCAAAGCAAAGGTAGTTAAGGCAAGATGTCGACACAACTTTCTCCCTAACTGCTGGTCTTCCTCCAGCCACAGCTAAGAAGTAAGGAAAGTACTCACCCTTAAATCAGTTCTAAATTTGACTGTCAGATCAGATGGGACATTTTAATAACTGATCAGAGAGCTTTCCATTTATCCAAGAGTATAGAGAAAGGTTAAGAGATAACCCCACTTTTCACCATGGAAAGAATAAAACGTAAAAAGAAAAGAGCAAGAACAAAAAATAAAATTGCTTTATTATATATCACTCTTCATCCTTCTGTCATGGGATACTACAAAGACCCACTTCTCCTGGAGATAATATTTTTGTGGCAGAAACAAAAAAAAAAAAAAAAGCAATTAGTAATTAGTTATGTAATAACAGGTAGTGATAGAGCATGAAGGAAAACAAAGCAGGATTAGGAGATGGGGCTGTGGAGGGCAGTGCTATTTTCCACAGGGTAGCCAGGGAAGGCATCTGAACAGAAACATGAAGTGAGAGAGCCAGCCTTAAAAAGATTTGCAGGAAGACGGTCCAGGCAGGAAAAAAAAAGGCGGGGGGGGCAGTAAGTTCAAAATGTGAGGCAGGAAGGAATGCGGTGGTCCGAAGCTTTTATTTTTTAGTTTGTGTGACTGGAATAGGGGAAATGGAGGGAGAAGCGTAGGTTATGAGTTTTGAAAATTCACCAGGAATCTAACTGTATACAGTCATGAAAAAGGAATTGGACTTGAAGTGCAATGCAAAACCATTTGAAGGCTGAGTTCCGTTCTTAAATGATTACCATGATCATTGTGTACAGAATGGATGACAGACCACTGAGACTAAGAGACCTAGAAACTGGATGTCCAGTGACTAAAGTTTTGAGTCAGCTGCTTCTGAATCACCTAGGATACTTACTGAAAGAACAGATTACTAAATCCTATCCATTCCCAAAACTGATTCAGAATCTTTTGAGAAAAAGTGAGGCAAAGAATGTTAATTTGTGCTGATGCTCCAGGAGATTCTTTCATGCCGTCAGAATCAGGAATCAGCACCCTATATTAATGATTTTTGTGAGCGCCCACAAGGGAACTTTTGCTCAGTATCAGACTTACGCTTCCTGTGAAATGTGCATGCTTTTATCGTGCCTGTTTGCTTTAACCACATTTCATCTAGCATTAACAGTGCAGGATTTAGTGGTGCAAATTCTTTGCTTCCAACTTTAACTTGGATTCGATTTTACTATTTATCCGACCTTCATTTTCCCTCTCCCTGGTATTTTTATTTTTTCATATTTATGGGTTTTAAGACTTAAACTGTCACCCCAGTAGTCTTCAGAGCAATATAGTGTACCATACATACATTTAATTTAGACTTATGCCCATTATACCTTCAAGGCCTTCTCTGAATATAAGGAAGGAATTCACATATGTTTCCCTTAAAGAAACACTAATGGTAATTTTGTGCTTTTTCTACTCACCACCATCATTCAGACATGACTGGATGATTTCATAACCAATATAATTTAAAAATTTTGTCTGCTACATTTATCTGATCTGCTTTGCTAAATAACATATTGCCTAAACCTAACAAAATAATTTTTAGTCTTCTTTTAACATGTAAAAATTTAGCATGGTGCTGATTTGTCTAATGCATCATTTAAGTGGTTTCATAATGCATTCGATCCCAGTGAATGTCAACAAACATAGAGGAGCTCTTCTTAGATAGTTGAGAAGATTTAAAGTGAATTTGGCTTTTATTACATGAAACCAAAATTATATTGGATTTTAACAGTAATATTTTAACAGCTTCTAAGTAGAGGCAAGAAAGGAAATCAAATGTGTACCAGTCAAAGTACCTATAAATGTGATAGAAGCACTTACCAACCAACATTTCACATCATCACATGCCATGCTTATAATAACAAGGCTTTTTCACTAGAAATATTGCATTAACATTAGACTTTCAAATTGCTAGATATGAAAAATAACTCACTTAAAAAAGAGTCTATTTCTTATTTTAGGCTGGTCAAGGTTAAAATGGCCATTTATATATTTCTAACTTCAGCTCTAAGCTCAGAGAGCATCAGATCAGCCAAGACAAGAATTTATTTTGCCTGTACCCAACACAGTAAATTGATAAGTTAGCAGTCAGTTCATCCTTTGCCAAAAAGAAATATGTCCTAAATTAATATATAAAAACCTTCTAGTAAATAATATAAATAATATCTACATACTAACATTTCATATTTATATTATGTACTATTTAAGGGGGAGAAATCTTCATGAGGGCTTATTCAAATGATACAGTATCCTAAGAACATCAATTCATCGATATGAATTCTGTACAAAGTATGGTAGTGTAAATGTAAGTGGTCATCACAGCTGGACTGTAATAATCCCCTAAAATGCAAAAGCTCATTCTAAAGACATTTAATAAAGCAGTGAAATTCATATAAATTATTACTTTTCTCCAATACAAAGTCATCTGGTAGTCTTTACTGTTAACTTCATGCAAAAACATCCCAAGTTTAGACTGTTAACCAATAAAATAAATAGGGCAGAATTAATAGTTTTAATTTCAAGTCAGAGGAAAAACCCTCATCACACAATAATAAAACCCAAGCAAGTGCAAGTTTGTAACTGTAACAATGCTCCTCATTAATAGATTATCCAAATTCCTCCATGGCATTCAAACTGTAGTTTAAAACTTAATATACAGAAAAACACATAAAAACATGATCAAACTCTACCATGAAACAAAGAATTATAATAAAGTTATTTCAGCCCTCCCTGAATATTTAATTTAGGACTATGAGCAAAGTAGAACACACTTCATCTAAATGATACCATTTTATCAGTGCTATAAAATAATGCCACTTAAGACTAGTAAGTGTGCTACATTATGTGATTTGAACCATTCTGTAAAAAAAAGCATTAACAAGTAACATCGTCCCCACCAGCTTGGAGCCTACAGATTCAATTACTTTGGCCATATCTTTCCAAATGATTTAGTGATGCCTTTTAACATTGCAAACATAAATCTATCATAGTACTGGAATTCCCATGTATTTTGGTGCTTCTGGGGCTGCCTAAAAATGAAAAGGCATCCAAATGAAATGCACTATAGACTTATTATACCTCAAAATTTCTGTTTCTAAAATGTAAAGTAATTCTCTACCATTTAGCTGTCTGTTTTAACTGCACATTGTGTAGATTTTTACCTCTAGAATTTTTATTGTACTTTGGGAAATTGGTGGTAAAACATGTTTAAAAAACAGCATGTGACTGTGCTTGAATTCCATAAAATAGCATTTTTACAATTATATTGAAATTTAATCCTTTTACACAAGTTAACAAACATATCACCAAAAAAATAAAAACCGCAATACTTTTGAAAATGTAACCATACATATTTATTCCAGGAAATGATCAGAGGTCACCTTTAGGTCAATTTACCACACCAGAGGAACAAAGTTGTTAAACTACAGCTGTGCTGAACTGAGCCACTTGTCCACAATACAGTATAGAACTTGAAGTTGTTTTCCTTTTCTCATCAGGTCTTCAGTTGAAAATACTATTATCATCCTTAATATGGTTTCTCTCTTCTCTGGTCTGAATGATGTGATTCATGTAGGTTTGAAGAAGGTGGATCCCACATTGGTGGAGGTGGCAGTACTTTCCATCCAAGCCATAATCTACGATCCGTTGCATCTCTTTGTGTAAGACGAGGGTTCAAAGTTTCCTGATTTTCAGTGGACTGAGGTAAAAAGTTAGAGTTATAATGATGAAAAGTGAATTCACTTTCAGATGGATTCCCATTTTGAGACTGGGGAATAGGTGGTAGGGGAGATTTCATGAAAAGTGGCACCTGGACAATAACAAACCCAGGTGATGGATCATAGGTGGTGGTTAGTGCTGGCACTTGGCTAGAAATCAAATTAGAAGTACCTACATCCTGAGGAGGATATGGCATTGGATGGTTTACCGTTGATGATGGAGATGGAAGTTGTGCATAATGCTGTTTTTGAGGCCTAATATGATTAGGGTATGATACCACTGGTTGACCTTGATACTCCAGAGAATAGTCAGGAGATGATGGCTTCTTAGCACCAGAATTGGAGTTCTTCTGAATATGCTTAGTTATTACATTGCCTTGTTTTCTTGTAAAAATACTAATGGTTTCCCACTGGATGGGAAAAGGCGGACTTGGAGATAATTCTTTGGGAGGAGCCCAAATATCCTTATGTGACCGATTATAGTGCTTGTGTGGCATATGTGGCACAGTCGGTGGTGGCATCATGGTGTGCTGCTCTGGTGGAATATAGCTTAGATGGCCCTCATGTTGCAGTCTTTTAGGGATTTCAGAGATTTCAGTTCGTGGCGGAGCAATACAGGGTTGAACTTTTTCAAGTGAAGTACTGCTATCATGTTTTCCGGCTGTCTTATGGCGGCGTATGATATGAGCCTGTAAGCTTTTCTGAGACGAATATGTTTTCTTGCATCCCTGAACATCACTACACATGAAGAGAGAACCTCGTTTATGCTTCTCAATTCGACGCACAGGATAACTACAGCCTGGACATATTTTACATCCGTTTTTGTCATATAAATTAGCACAGTCATAGCAAAAAGCATGCTTGCATGGAATTATTCGCCCATAGATTTTAATAGGCAAATCACATTTGTCACAGAAATGAATTGGTAAATCATCCTTTTTACCTATGATATTGATCTTAATGTCCCCCCAAAGGTAACCAGGAATTTTTTTCTCTTTCCTCAACAGTTTACCTCCTTTAGAGTAGTACTTCCCTTCATTACATTCACATTCTTGTTCACCAGCAGGCATCTTGTTCACATTCTTTGGAGTTAAGACACAGATTTAGGTTTGTCTACTTCCTCAAAAACAACCTTTAGATGAATTCTTCTGCTAACATCAAGGCCACCCAACGATCCAAAACTATGAGTGCCTAGTAACCCATTATCAGCGTCATTAGGATCCAAGTTCGGAACACAAGGGACCGGGAGTCATGTGCCAGTAACGTGCGCGTTAAAACGCATGCGCACCATCTTCCCAAGCCTAGAAGGCAGAAGTGCGATCTGATCACTCCCCAGCCCTCCACTGCTTTGACCTTTAAGGGCTTCGTTCTCTTCTTACCTGCCCCGTCCCACCACTCTAGTGAGGGAGCTTGGGCCGAGAAAGAAAAAGTTTCAGTGTTGAGTTTACTAATACTGCTCTTCAGTGCTCACAGAGAAAGGAGTCTTTGTGGAAACAGAAACTGACAGGCATGGGGAATAAATTTCCGGCAGGCCCTGCAGAGCTTTGCCTTCTAGGACTAACTTATTTGTTTTTATCCTATTGCATTTTTGTAAACTGCTTCAAATCTCTCACTGGAATAAGATAGGATGGTTTGTGTGTGTACGTATGTATATGTACATACACGCAAAATACACCTTTAACATTTTGTGATTTCACGATAAAGTAAATTTAAAGTCACCTTTGTCTGGAGGAAGGGAGCATTACATTTATCTTGACAAGGAAAAATCATGGAAAAAGTAATGAATAGGGTCAGGTGCTATGGCTCACGCTTATAATCTCAGCACTTTGGGAGGCCAAGGCTGGCAGATCGCTTGAGGCCAGGAGTTGCAGACCAACCTGGCCAACATGGTGAAAACCCATCTCCACCAAAAATACAAGAATTAGCCGGGCATGGTGGCATGTGCCTGTAATCCCAGCTACTCAGGAGGCTGGAGAATCGCTTGAGCCTGGGAGCCTGAGGTTGCAGTGAGCTGAGACCGCGTTACTGCACTCCAGCCTGAGCGACGAAATGAGACTGTGTCTCAAAAAAAAAAAAAAAAAAAAGAGAAGAAGAAAATAAGTGAATAGATGGTAACTGCACCAGGCTAGACCTTTTTTAGTCATTTGCTGTTCTTGCTTAAATTTAAAAAGGGTTATGGATATTAAGGCCACATTTCCTTAAGTCTTACCTTGCCTCCAAGTACAAACTGGCTCATAAAATAGCAACACATCATATTTTTCTGTCTCCGCTCCACCCATAATTGTGGCACCTCTATACTCCTGAATGTGCAGACATTCACCCTTTTAGCTATTGGCTGTCAACCCCTACTCCCTGCCCTCTCCCAAAATACTAAAAAAAAAAAAACACTGATCAATCAAAGCAAAGTATCTTATGAGACTTACTGCAGTATGAAAGAGCTCTGCCTTAACAATGTCTAGGCAGTGTCTCAGAAGGGAAATGACAGGGAAGGTTATTGGAGACTAAGCTGGGTGGTTTCAGGGCAAGTCTTGCAAAGCAAGCATCTAATTGTGATGGGGTAAATTTTGTGACATGATAGCTATAGATTGGTGGGCACAGCAGGGGGAGAATATTGAAGCAAGTTTTGATGGGGAAGGTGGTATTCTTCTTAAGTAAACTCTTGTTTTACAATTTTATTTTTCAGGAAAAGATATTTGCTGGAATAAGTAGCTAATTTGCTTATGTTCAAAATGGATTAATATAGGAACAGAAAACTATTATCGTGTCCATTATTGTTTTACATAGCAACAACGAATTATGTTGGTTTCAGTACTCAGTTACCACATAGCAGTGATCATTTTCCTCTTTTCTGGCTCTGGCTTGTTGGATTGTTGATTTTTTTCTTGTTTGTTTGAGAAGGAGTCTCACTCTGTTGCCCATCCTGGAGTGCAGTGGTACAATCTCTGATCTTGGCTTACTGCAACCTCCACCTCCTGGGTTCAAGTGATTCTCCTGCCTCACTCAACCTCCCATGTAGATGGGACTACAGGCACATGCCACCACACTCAGCTAATTTTTGTATTTTTAGTAGAGATGGGGTTTCGGCATGATGGCCAGGCTGGTCTTGAACTCCTGACCTCAGGTGATCCACCCACCTCAGCCTCCCAAAGTGCTGGAATTACAGGCGTGAGCCACTGCACCTGGCTGGGTTGTTTATTCTTGACTACACTAATGATGAAAACATAACAATGCCCCAATAACCACCTAAGGCACCATGCTCACAAATAAGCAGTCACAACTGCCCCAGCAAAGACACAATATTCACTGAAGGTGCCACTGAGTCCAAGAAGATAAATGGACCTCTGTGCTCCCTTTCATTTCATGCTGTTACTGGCCTACAAAACATTTCAGGCTTATTCTCCCCAATGTCTTAAAGACATTATTCTGAAATCATTCTTTCAGATTTTACTTGATCTTAGTTATTGCTCCTCTGCCAAGTGCTTGAGTAGTATAAGCTGGTAGTGGCTAGTTTAAATTTAAATGAACAGTGTCACTTGCCTCTGATACCATCCCCTAGTTCTTGACCTTTTCAATATCCCAGCAATGCTAATTTCTCTCAGGTTCGTTCATTCACAGGAAGCAACTTCATCCCTCGTGCAAATAAATTCTTTATGTGCGCATCTCACGGAGTCTCCAAACATACCTAGCCTCTAAACACTAAGGCTGACACATGTTTTCATGTTTTTCTCTCAAACCAGAGATCCTATTACATGTTGATTTAAGTTTTAGATCATTTGAAATTCTGTTGGCTTAGAAACTTTTAAAGCAGTACCATATTTTTTTTTTCTTTTGAGAGAGTTTCGCTCTTGCTGCCCAGGCTGCAGTGCAATGGTATGATCTCAGCTTGCCGCAACTTCCGCCTCCCAGGTTCAAGCGATCTGCCAGCCTTGGCCTCCCAAGTAGCTGGGATTACAGGCAGGCACCACCACGCTCAGCTAATTTTGTATTTTTAGTAGAGATGGGGCTTCTCCACATTGGTCAGCCTGGTCTCAAACTCCCGACCTCAGGTGATCCCCCTGCCTCAGCCTCCCAAAGTGCTGGGATTACAGGCGTGAGCCACTGCACCTGGCCAGTACTAATAATTTTTAATTTTTTTTTAATTTTTTTAATTTTAATTTTATTTAAGTTCTGGGGTACATGTGCAGAACATGCAGTTTTGTTACATGGGTATTTGGGTTGGTTCCAATATACCTATCAATGATAGATTGGATAAAGAAACTGTGGCACATATACCCCATGGAATACTATGCATTCATAAAAAAAGGAGGAGTTCATGTCCTTTGCAGGGACACAGATGAAGTTGAAAACCTTCATTCTCAGCAAGCTGACACAAGAACAGAAAACCAAATATCACATGTTCTCACTTATAAGCGGTGTCAAACAATGAGAACACATGGACACAGGGAGGGGAACATCATACACCGGGGCCTGTCGGGGAGTTGGGGGTTGGGTGCTGTATTTTTTATAAGCCAAAGTGGTACTTAAAAAAGCATGGATGATCTGCCCTATTATAAACAGTGAACCAGAATTCTGAGCAAAAACTAAAACTTAGAGCAACAAAACATACACAAATGTTCCTGTTTTAAAACTACAATTAGTCACTTACCAGGTTCTTTATTGAAGGCTCAATTTTTTTTAAGTGATGTGCATATAATTCAAATGCCATGAATACAAAGGGGAAAATCTCTCAGATATAATGTCCACAACTTATTTTCTTTCCTTGAAACAGTGTTTTATTTTTGTTTTTTGTCAAAACTGAGACTTTTTCATGTGACAGAATGACCCTGAGTGAAAACAGTCAGCTCCTTTTCCCAGTTGACTCCATTTGCATTTGTTGCTCATTGGATCTGCTTCTAATTAATTTAGAAATAAATCATAAGTTCGGCTTTTGAGTAATGAAACCATGCTTTTCCATAGACAAGCAATTAGCTTCCAGCTCCATACCCAGAAACTGCCCCGGTTCAGTACTTCCAGTATCTCTGCTTGGAGTATTTACTTGTTTATAGCTGAGAAACCCAACCTGAAAGTTCATAGTAAATGTTATTTGGTGAAATTGTTGATAAGAAAAAGGATATTGACCTCCCATTTATCTCTATCAGATTTAAGAATCTATCTTGCTATACTCCGAAAGCTGCCTTTACAAATTGACCCCTATTTAGTACCTTTAAACAAAAAATTAGATGGGCTTCCATTCTGCCACCTCCTTTAGGGCACAGAGACTCACTCTTTCCTTCAATCTCATTGCTCTTAAAAGTTGCTAGACTTACATTCAATTGACAGAAGGGAGATTTAGTGTCTGTCAGCCTATTACAGTGATTGGATAGAAAAAGGTTTGGGTTTGGAGACTTAAATGAAATTGGAGCTTTTGAAATAGCTTGAATTCATGGAGGCCTGCTGGAATTCAGCTTCCTTTCAAAAAATAAATGAGGTTGACAATGAAGAATTATGGACTATACAACAAAGGAGTATCAATGTGCACAATTAATACTAGGAAACAGGTTGAGACATCTCCGTTTAAGCCACATGCCATCTGGCCTGGAAGCAGTCATTCTACCAGAGTGACATCAAAGGTCAGCAGGAGCGAGAGCCGTATGTCCTGCTGCCAGGCTCCTGGATTTTATTTCTCATTTAAGAGAATCTGATCTGTCATTCCTCTGGCTCCTATGGGCTTTAAATTCACATAATCAACATATCACTGCCAGAGACTTAGTAATAGCTGAGGCAGTTTAAAGGTGAGTGGAGAATAATCGTGCTCCCAAGCCAGATGCTTTCAGTTCTGCAAGGAAATAAAAAGTCCATCTTGGGCTCCAAAAAAGAAGGCAAATTGCCCTGTTTGAAGGAGACTTCACCTCTCCTCCCAAATGTACTAGTAGCTACATTCTGCATCCTGGGGAGAGCTGGCCTTCCGCAAATTTTAAGAGCAGTGGTCCTCAAAACATAGTTCACAGACACCTGGGGATTCTCAGGGCCTTTTCTGAGGGTCCATGAGGTCAAAACTATTTCCATAACACTGGAAAGAAGTTATTTGCCTTTTTCATCATGAGACATTTGTGACAATAGTGCAAAAGCAATGATGGGTAAAACTGCTGGCACCTTAGCATGAATCAAGGTAATGGGACCAAACTATGCTAGTAGTTGGTGCATTTTCTTCCTGCCACACAGTAAAAAGAAAATGTCAGTTTCACTGAAAATGTCCTTGGTGTGCCAGGCATGGTGGCTTACGCCTATAATCCCAACACTTTGGGAGAACGAGGCGGGTGGATCACCTGAGGTCAGAAGTTTGAGACCAGCCTGGCCAACATGGGGAAACCTCATCTCTACTAAAAAATACAAAAAAATTAGCTGGGCATGGTGGCATGTGCCTGTAGTACCAGTGATTCGGGAGGCTGAGGCAGGACAATCACTTGAACCTGGGAAGTGGAAGTGGCAGTGAGCCAAGATCGCACCACTGTGCTCCTGCTTCGGCAACAGAGTGAGACTTCATCTCAAAAAAAAAAAAAAAAAAAAAAAAAGTCCTGGGGAGGGATCCAAGATGGCCGAGTAGGCGCAGCTCTGGGTTGCAGCTCCCAGCAAAAGCAGCACAGAGGGTGAGTGGTCACCGCATTTCCAGACAGATTTTTATTGCCCACAGACCAGGAGATTCCTGGTTGGAGGAGTGCCACAGGTCTCCAGCACGGCTGTTTCGGCTGGTGCCGCAAGTCTCCGCACAAAAACTCACACGAGCCCAGGCGCCATTTCAGCTGGTGACTGGAGTGCCTGGGAGAGAGTCACACGTTCAACAGATAAAAAGGGGACTGAA